ATTTACCACGTACCCGGGTCTCACTATCCGAATGATGAGACATTCTTCCTTTTCCTCTTCCACCCTTCTCTGCAGTACTCTCTGTCTGTTTCATGCAAGTAGACCCTCTCCTCTGACCTATGGCCCATGGACACAAATTCAACATTTATAGCTTTTAATTAGTTTGACCCCACTGTTTTGTATTCTGATAACTGTAATTCCCTCCTTTCTTTCAACATGAACTATAATTTCTGCTTCATTTAATGTCCAGTTTATAGCTGTTCTTTTCTTCTTGCAATTTTTCCTCTCGACTCTCCAGTGACAAGTCATATCTATGTATTTGCCCCCTACGTACAAACACTATTCAAAAAGAGTTATCCAATTACTTTTTTTCCCTAGTTTTTTTTCTGATCAAGGCACAAAGCCAAAATATTACATTTAACAAACAGAATAATATTTTACTAAGGTTTTACTTATGTACTGGAAGTCAATGCAGCACAAAAATTGCTTTGCTAAATGAATGCTAGACTGAGTTTTCCTGGCTTACTCTAGTATAAGAAAGCTGAAATGAAGAGAAGAAAAAATTATATATTCCAAATCATCTCAGCTACCCTCTTTATCATTATTATTGCCTCCATTTTCTCCTGCATTTTAGAATATATTCTAAATGGAATATTAATATTAATTTCTTTCTTCTTCATGAGCATTTAGATAATTTGGGATAATTAAGGGAGAGAGGATAGGAGAATCCATTGTGGGGTTATAAATCTCCATGGAATGTGTTAGTTTTGCATTTTAGTTCTGCTAAAAAATGTAAATGCTTCAATTAGTGTAAAAATCAGAGGCTGCCTCGCTCATTAACCACAAAGCCTCTAACCTCTCACCTTGCACATATCTGAATCAGAGGATTCTGAAATGGGAAAGTTGGCCCATTTTCCTAAATACAGAAATTGCTCTAAAAAAAAGTAACCAGAAAATAATTCCTCTAGCCTCCCTCCCTTAAAGAGCTAATTAGTTTCCAGAGGCGGCTTATCTAGAGAAGCTGGTATTCTGTTGCATGTGATGGGGAAGCTGGTGTACTTGTGGATAGCATTACAGCAGACTTGAAGGGAAGATAGCAGGGCTGGGCATCTGCAGTACTAGGATGAATCTCTTCAATCTAAATATTCCATGTTTCATAACAAACCTGTCAATAAGGGACATGAGGGCAGTTTCGCTGCTGTGCTGTGCTATCCTACAGCTAACACAGCCTGAAGTCTCCTAAAGGCTGATTGAAATCGATTCATACGCAGGTGGAATGCTACAGATCTCTCTTCTCAGCCTTTATAAAGAGAGATTTAGTGGGAGACTTTTTATTTATTGAGAGATTCGTATTATACCAAATTCAATATTCCTTCAGTCCACAGTTACCCGGAAAGATACACTTAAACAAATGCCTGATGTATTCAGCGCGTATGGGACCAAATAAATCAGGGGGAAAGAATATAGCTACTACTACACACATCCATTCTGCACACATTTATTTCTAAGCTAGGGGCTGGGAGGCAAGGAGAAAAGCACTGCCTGGACTGATGATTACATTTCCTCAGTGAATAAAGCCCACATATGCAAAACAGCAATGCAAAATTACCTGCTCCCTTTGCATAAAGAAAGTTCATCTGCACTGATTTAATTAATTGAAGGGTTAGCCTTTTGCTACCATTTCTGACCTGAGGTTTTTCAGCTAATTTTACTAGAAGATCTTCTAGGCAGTATGACACGAGTAATCTCATGGCATCACAGGACTCTGGTATATTTTCAAGACCATCAGTCCTACTCACAACCTCTAATCCTTAATTTCTATCACGCATTATTCTGGTTAACTTTTATGGGGCTTGAATCAGTTTTTAGTATATGAACTGGTTCAGATACAGGGACCAGTTGTCCAAACGCCTTCAAGATGTTGACCTAGTTTGCATGTAGGAAGTTGAGTTTGCATGAACAAATTGGCATGGAAAAAGGTCATATTATTTCCTCGTATTACCATCCAACCAAAATATTGTTTGGTCACTCTTCAAATTCACTCTAAGTATTGTTACCAAAATTACCTTTCTAATTCGTAATTTCCTCTCTTCTGCTTGTTCTTGATACTGCTGCAGTCACTCTATCATATCTTACTGACCTCAGCTGTTCCTCCAGCAATATCTGCCTCAGTCACTCCATTTCCACACTACCCTCTTTTCTGATCTGTGATAAATTCCGTAACAGTTGAGTACTACAAAATATTTTCTTAAACCTCTTCTACCATTTTACCTTCAAATCAATCCCACTGACACTGGTACAAGCACCTGAGCTGTCTCCTTATTACCCTAAATTCTTTTCATGTCAGGTTTTATAAATACTTTGCATCATATTGCTGAATATTATGCAGGTTCTAGTTCTAAATTTCACAGGAAAAGCACCATTAAAGAGCAGCGACTCCAACATACTTCGATCAAATATCCTCTCTGGAGCAACAAAGATCAAAAATCCACCGCAATTGGGCTAAACTTTAAAAAATGGAAGTATATGAACATGGGGAAACTTGTTAAAAAATAATTTAAAAGAGGTATCTGAGAGAATGAAAACCTTACAGATAGCACAGGGACTACCAAAGAACATCCTACACTAAAAGCAGAGCTTCAGTGCACACTGTCTGTTAGGAAAAACTTGAGAAACAATAAAAAGAAGCAGGTGTGATGGAGCAGTGAGCTAAAGATTTGGGAAGTAAAAGAGTTTATTAGAATTAAGAATGCATCATTCAAAAAGCAGAAGCTGTATCCAAATGAAGAAAATAAAAAGGATCATAAACTCTGGTAGATTAAATGTAAAAGTATAATTAGGCAGGCAAGAAAAAAAAAAGAGTTTGAGGAACAGTTGGCTGAAGCAATCAAAAGTAATACTAAATTCCTCTTTCAGCACATCAGAGCAAAAAACCTGCCAGGAAGTCTGTGTAGCCCACTGACAGGTTGAATATTCAAGGAGAGCAAGGCTGTTGCTGAAAAGCAGAATGAATATTTGCATCACTGTGGCCTTCCAGTACCTGAAAGAAGCCTACAAGAAATACGGAGAGAGACTGTTTACAAGAGCGTGTAGTGACAGGACAAGGGGAAATGGCTTCAAACTGAAAGAGAGCAGGTTTAGATTAGATATTATAAAAAAAATTCTTTACTGTGAGGGTGGTGAGGCACTGGAATAGGTTGCCCAGGGAATAGGGGATGCCCTATTCCTGGAAATGGCCAGGTTGGATTGTGCTCTGAGCAACCTGAACTAGTGAAACATGTTCCTGCCCATGAAAGGGGGGTTGGAACTAGATGATCTTTAAAGTTCGTTCCAACCCAAATCATTCTATGATTCTAAGGTCACTGTAGAATAAACTGATAATATTTCCTCACTAGAAGCCTTTATGGAAGGCAATGCTTCAGAGAATCCATCTGAAACATAACTGACTGTGGAGAGGCTATTGTAATGTTAGCACAATTTTAATGAGTTGTCTGGACTGGATGGTGTTTAGCCAAGAGTTCTGAGAAAACCCAAGGAGGTAATAGCTGAATCAATGATAGGGGTACGTGACCTACCATGTTAGCCTTTAGGTACTATGGACACTGAAGGCTAGCAAATGTGATGCCATGGAGGATCTGGAGAGCAACAGGCTCGCAAGCTAGTAACTCTAGTGCACAAATTTGTAAAGGCTACAATAAAGGACAAATACGTGTCTGAATGCAATTTCTGTGGAAGAGCCAATGTCAGTTCTGTAGTAAGACATTATGTTTTGCAAAATCTGTTAGTTTTTTGGAGGTAACTAACATATGGGTCAGGTGAGCCAGTCAAAAAAAAAATACAACTGGATTCTCAAAATTTTTTCGATGAAGTCTCCCATGAATGATTTTTAGAGAAAGTGAGCAGCCAGAGCATAAATGGGAAGGACCTGGCAGGGACAGATAAAGGGCCAAAAGACACGAAACAGAAGGCCTGTGCTTGCAACAGAACAAATACCCTTCACAGTGAAATAAAATGATGGACTCTGAGCTGACAATTACAAAATTTGGAGTGGGAGCTTCAGGTTATGATAGACCGCTCCATGGAAGCATCAGCTCAGTGCTCAGCAGCAGTTAAAAAACCAACTCAAATGCCAGTAACAAAAAGAAAGACAAAAACATAATTATGACTCTGTTCATCTGCAGGTTTAATATTTTTTCAGTAGGGTTTCCTCATCTCAACAAAAGGACATATGGAAGTGGAAAAAGCTCAAAGATCAACTATGATAAACTATGGCATGGTTTATAGAGTTCCAAAATTCATGATGAAGTGGCATGAGTGGATAGGAAATGACTGTTCACTGTCCCTTCACTGCAAGAAGCAGAGTGTAAAATGAAGCTGATAAGAGCTAGACATAAAGAAAAAAAGAAAATAGCCTTTTCATAAGAGGTATGTGTACCACTTATTCAATATCTAAAGTGTCTGTTTTGTAGAGGAAGGACTTCATATTGTTCTGTATCTACCTCTTCAGGTCCAAGTCCTTGAACTGGAATTTCTGGAGCTACTGGTACAAATAAGTAATCATATATATTCAGCCTATCTCATGAGTGGGTTGATTACACATTAAGAAGTCAGTTCATAATAGGGATATTCACTTGAGCAAAGCACTAGACCACTTCATAGCTTCCTGTTCCCTCTTTGCACAGATTCAAAGTACTCACAATACTACTGGTCTCAGTTTAAACCAGGAATGGCAAGGGTAGAAACAAATGCTAAGAAGATGAGCTATAAGTCTGTGTAAATTCTTATATAACAAGCAATGTGCACACATCAGTGATGGACCTGTGAACATGAAGGAAAAGCACGTGTAGTTAGAGTATTTGTACATTGATTAAGGTAGCTATTTCCAAGGTGCCTGCTTAGAGAGAATCTTCTGCTTTCATCCTGTACAGAGACTACTTTCCTTATGAATTGTTTTTGCATTATCCTCTGCACTCCAATTTCTTGTATCATCTTTCTGAAAGGTGACATGGGAAGTCTCTTCCTGTACTGGTTATGGTCCAAAACAACTGGAAGAGGGAATCCACTCCAGATACAAACCCCACCTAATGGAAATAATTGACTTTTCCTGACTCAGAACTAACAAGAGAAGTTAAACATTAACAAGTGCCCCATGGGACCGCACTCCTGTTGAAGACTGGGAGAACTCTCAAAAGAAGAAGGAAAATGTCCTCTAACATCCACTGACCCAGATCCAGAGTCAGGCCACTGATATATCATGCCAAGATTTGCACTGATGCAGGATTCAGTCTTGGTAGACAGTTTTCACGGATACATCCTCACTGCAAACTGAGTGATGCCTGGGACTGTCAGGAAGTTTTCACAACATTTACACAGCAGAAAATGAGACCAAGATTAGATGACAATTCTGGACAGAAATCGAGGGAGGTACGTAAGCTGAGGCTGGTTTTGTCTGCAACACAAAATAGGTCTGTTAAAGAAAAACTAATTTTTATTCTGGTGTTATGGTGAGAACTATCACAGCTGGGCCTCATATATCTGAGACAGCATAAAGAAGAGATTTCCCAGCAAGAGTGCTTCCCTGATGAGTGAAAAACAGGTCACTGGTTCATATAGTTGTATTATTTAACACATAAAAAAATTAAATAAATTTTTCATTAATTACATTGAAAATTGCACTTAATGGATTCCTTCTTTTCTTCCCTGATAATTCAGGTATACAAGCAAGATCAAAAGCTGTAGTCTGACTGAAATGACTGTACTATCATTTTCAGTTGAATTTCCTACATAATATTACTGAAGATGAATGATTTTTCATTGTTTCAATAGAAAACTCTTCTACATCTCTTTCAGATTTCCTCAGTATCTGAGCTCCATATGAGCACAGGATTTTATTGGGATGTGTCAGTTCATTATAACCACTCTACTAGAGTTTCTCCATAAGAGTTTCCAGTTTACAAAGAAAAATAAAATAGCAGGTGTTAACATTGAAAAAGAAAATTGAGACAGAAAATTAAGGTTATTAGGGAAGCTGAGAATTATAAAAGGGCAAACAGGGAGTGATTTCAGAAATCACAGTTTAGCAGCAGAGCAAATAAACAGAGCAGCCTGTGACTGAAGTAATCAAACTAGAAGATATTTTAGCAAAATAATAAAATGAGAGGTTCCAAATGGAGCCTAGTTACCTGACCACTGTATTCTTTCACTTTTGGCTCATGATATACAGCCACCCTACTGCCTTGCAGGGCTGAGCTTTGGACAGGAAATTGGAGTTACTCCAGAGGTCTTTAGTTTTTGGGACTGGGTTGAGGCATTGACACAAAACCTGTCTATCTGGCAGCATCTTAGTGTGTTAACTGTGAAGTGTTACTAAGATCTGTTCATGAGTTTTTCCCTTACCTGAAGATGCAGTGGCCGACACTGCAACGTGAGCCAGATTTTCACTTAGTCCTGTTCAACTCCAGGGCAGCCATGCCCACCTACAGAGCTGGGAAAGGAGACACGTCTATTTTCTCCCTTCTCACTGCTGCCTGACACTTTGCAGGCAGGGAATATAATGACCGCAGAAAGATTGCTCTTTCCACTATGAGGTACTGGCTGCAGGAGTAATTGGTGAAGGACATCTGGATATGGCAGGGACACTCTCAAGACCCACTGCTCAGAAGGGTTGTACAGGAAAAGGGGTCTACTGAGAAGATGAGGGACATGTCCCACAGACATGAGGGGCAAAGAAGCATGTCACAGGTGTTCTCTGTGCATAGAGGCTGTGGCTACAAAAGTATTGTCCTTAAAAATATTTAAAACTAGATTTAAATAAAGCAGTTTATATGAACTCAGCGCATAAGATGAACTCTTCTGAGTAGCATAAATTAAATTCACATTGAATGGGTGGCAGGAAGAGTCAAACACCAGCATTTCCAAAAAAAAAACACCTGCGTTACAGCCCCCTAAGCTGTCAGCCAGCCCTGCTGAAGCAGACAATGGTGTAGATTTTAAGGCCAGCAAGAACTGCTACAAAAATCATATAGCCTGACTTCCTTTGTAGCACAAGCCATAGGATTTATCCAGCAGTTCCTGAAGCAGTAACACCTACTCTTCCCTGCTGCAGTGAGGCTCCTTACAATCCCCTTTCAAATGAACTCTTGGCAGAACTCCAAGGGGAATGGACACATATCAGACAAAAACTTGTTTGTTTGCTTTTCCAAAAGGAGTAGCTGGGAAAGCAGTTGCTAATAGCTGATGTAGGACTGCATCACTGGTACCCACTGGGCATGAGGCAGTCAGACTCCAGCTGAGCAGTGAAACCAGGGCTGCAGTTACATCAGTCTGCAACAGGACTATAGCTCTTCCCTACTTCACCAATATTCATGTTGCCCTCCTTTCACCCACTGAAGCTGGAGTCTGAATGTGTTTAATGCTTTCTTAGCCACAGATCATTAGTAACCAATTCCACTTTCCACTGTCGCAATCGTTTTTATACAATACAAGACTCCTTTTTTTCCTCTCCCCTCCCTCTTCTTTCTTCCTCCTTTTTCCAGTCTTCTTGTGGCAAAACAGTCCTGCCTGAAAGCAATAAGCTTCTTTCAGAACTTAAAATCCTAATGGCAGGCATTTGGAAAAGAAGGTCTAAAGGCACCATTATTCCTCACTTTGGCTCCACTGCTGGCTTGCTGTCTACATGCATAATGCTGGGCTTTTTCCCACAAAAATAGCAGTCCTCAGATAGTCACAAATCCATGTTAACTGCTTGGGTTATTTATTCCTGGAGGAACCTAGCAAAGTGAGAACTCTTAGGATATTTGGGAGGCCACCATGAAGTCAGTGAGCACTTAGCTAGGAATGTGGGGAATATAAACGAAGCAATGACTTGGGTAATTGTACCCACCAGGAACAGCTATTCATGCTTTTGGAGTATTCCCACTCTGCTTGTGATGTTCTCTCCTCCTTCTCTACCACAGCTTTTCTGGTTCACAGACTCTCTTTCCACAGCTCTTCATCTCAGCGTTCACACTAGGCCTGAAACAAGATTGCAGCTTGTCATTCCTTTTCCTTTTCCTGTGGGGCTGTAATGTTCAGAGCAGGAAAAGTCAGGGGTCCACCCCCAGTGCTGTTACTTGTTCTCTCTGCGAATTCCAACCATTCATTAGCTATTGACTGTCAGCTGTGAGAAAGCGGTCTGCATCCCTGGCAGTGAGCTGCCGGCTGGGATAGGCAGCATCTCTCAATAAAATGCTGGAGAACAACAGGACATCATCACCAAGGGGGAACCTGCTATTGCCCAGGGCCTGACAAACCAATAGGCCATAAAGTTTTGCCAACAGGACATATATTTGGAAGTCTCCACACAGAAATGTGGATTGAAATTGGGAGTCGATTTGTGGCTGCAATGGACAGCAGGGGACCCAGAAACAGAAACCTAGGGGATTACCCAGATGGCGAGTCCCACTTCTACTGCTGTCCTAGAGAGAGTAAAGAGCAAATGGCAGGGTTCGCCCATCCCTGGAGGGACAGTGCTAAGTACTTTACCAGAGGTAAAGCTCTCAGGTTGTTAGTCCCAGCCAGAGACAGGACTCCACCATGCCTCACCGCTGTCAGTCCGGCTGGCATCCTAGGATACATGCAGGACTTGTTCACACCAACACTCTTCCACTGGGATTATGTGCACACGGTAAGGAGATGTTGCCTCCCTTGCAGCTGGTGTGCCAGTTAGTGCTAGGACAGACTCTTGTGGCCAGTCCATTCTCTGTCACCAGGGAGGAACAAACACATATTTATTTGTTTTTTAAATTTTATTCATTTAAATATTTATTTATTATATATAAAACACATATTTACCTATCTGCAGAGAGTATAGAGGGGGAAAAACATAGGAGCTAAATGTCAGTGTCTTTCCTCACGCTTTATGCAGAAAAAGCCTCCCACAAAGCTGTGGGTCCCACTGCAGCGTCCTCAAGCCTACAACTCAGAGCTCCTCATGCCTTAAGCCCAGCAAAACCCACCAGAAAACTGGTGATGGACCACTGCAGTGGGGCATTAGTGGCTGTGTGACTTGCAGTCCACCCCTGAATGAAAAAAAAAAAGTAAATACCTCCATACCCCAGCAATCAACAAGGCAGCACCTGGGGAGGGCTAGGCTGTTTGGCTGTAGAGCCAGGTGCATTCCCCAGCCTCAGCCCCAGCCCAGAGCACTTGGCACATGGTTACTGTCCATCCCCAAGCCACCGCTCTCTGCCCTCGCCATAAACAGCCATCCCTGTGTATGGGGGGAATGAGACTCTTGGCAGCCTTCACACAGCTGCCAGGCGCCAGACGGAGGAGTGGGGTAGTCCTCTCCAGCTGCTAGAAGGATGCAGTGAGAGGCAGGCAGGAGCACGGGGATCTGGCAGAGGCACGTGGCTCAAATCCTGCCCACCTGTCGGGGTGCGACACCAGCTGCAGCCCAACAAGGGCCCTATTAATCCTGCTCATGCAGCAGGTTTCTCTGCCTCCCCACATCTGACTGAGGTCTCCTGAAGAAATTTTCATCTGTGGTTTGCTAAGGGTTTCCTTCTCAAAGAACCATGATTTAATTGCTGTTATTATCTTCATAAGGCTGCCCAGAGTGTTTTTCCAGTGGTTATTTAAAGCTTATCTAAAAGATACTGATAGCAGTGGAATGCTCAGTTAAAACTTCAGTCCTGGTATGTCAGTTGCAGAGTGTGGTAAAAATAGTAGGTCTCTTAAATCAATCATCACCTTTCTCTAATTTATTGTATTGTTGTATTTTTGGATCCATGCATAGCATGCACAGCACATCATTACAAAAGAAACGCAGTTAAAAGCTGTATGAACAGACAACTGCAGACTGAGTTACTGTCAGTCTTCTCTGGAAAAAAAAATACCTTGGCAAGGAATAAAAATCACACATTATAATTTTTAAAAAGACCCTCTGATGAGGAACCTTACTGTAGAAAGAAAACTCTCCAAAATACGTCCCTAAAACATTGTACATATTGAAAAAAAATTATTTAAAAATCCCTTGAATGGTAACAGCTTCAAAAACAACAGCATGGATAATATGAATGTTTGGTGGGAACAAATAACTGCACAGGATGTCATTAGTCTATACATATTTTTTCTATCCTTATTTGCCGTAGAGAGAAAAGACAGAAGCACAGAAGTGATGAAATGTGTTTTAAAAAGATGGAAGAATTTTTTATTTAACGCACATCCCTTATTTCACCATATCGCTAGTGACTCATGCATAAAGGCTTAGAAATCTACCGAGGGAGATGAGACATCTTAGAAGCAGACATGAGCAAATAGTTGACTACAGGATAGCTGCTTTCTCTTTAAAACAATTCTGTTATTTTATTTAAAGAAATTATTTGCAAATAGCTTGTTCTTACTATGAATTTATTCCTATGTTCCTAATTGCCTCAGGGATTGTTTCTGAAAACAAATTTTAGACAATGAATTTACAGACTGACCATTCAAAATGCTTAGCTACTGTGAGTTGCCAATTAATTGGTGTTAAAAGTCATATGTATCATCTCTACTTTATAACTCACTCCCTGATTTGCAAAGTCAAAAAATTTATATACTGGAGTTTTGAATCTCTCAGGTTCACTTTGGATGAAGATAAGGGATAAAATGAGGAATTAAATGTCACTTCATGTTTTTTTAG